TGCCCTTTGATGACGATTTTTACCAATTTTTTGCGTTTTTGCCTTTTATCCTAAAAATTATAATAGATATATAGAAACTAAAATAAGCAAAAATGATCAGCAAGACAAGATCAACAATTAAGACAATCGGGTAGAAATCGTCCAATGATTCCTTATTGGAGTTATTGCCCTTTAATGAAGATTTTTACAATTTTTTTTGGGCGTTTTGCCATATATGATAAAAACACTGATAGATGGATAGAAACTTATGATTAGCAAGACAAGATCTACTCACAAGTAAAATTTTTTCGACATTTTTAGTAGACTGTCACTCCTCATAGGAGTGATTGCCCTTAAATGAGGATTTTTTTTTTACCCTCTTTTGCATTTTGAGCAAAAACTAAAGATAGAGAGAAACTAAACAGGCTAAATGATCAGCAATACAAGATCAACAAAACAAAGATTTTTGTCATGAATTATATTCTCGTCTACAATGTTGGAGAGTGTCCTTTGTTGAAATATGCATATAGACCAAGGTGAGGGACACAGGCTCTTTAGAGCCTCTAGTTTATTTCCTAAAAAACAACACATTTTTGTGGCATACAGCTTCTGTACTGGTTTAAGTTTAAAAAGAGCTCGTTCATCCCTATTGGCATTTTACGTGATGTTTTCATATTGTAATAATCAAATCAGTTGATTTAGCTTGTTAATGAAATAAGTTAATTAACTTTGTTAATTAAATTTCGCTAACATTGACATAAAGGTCAGACGATATGAATTACAATGCTGTTTTGTTTAATTACTTGTTACTTGTCACATAGAAAAGCAAACAAATATGTAACTAAAACAGAAATTAAAGTATTACCTGGTACAGCTTCTCTAATTTGTAAATTGATATCTAATATGTATCAGAATAACGGAATAATGTAAACAAACTTATTGAAGGGGATACTTTTTTTCTGAGTTTAACCTTTTCTAGCCAACTTTGACGAATTATTTTTCACAATTTTATAACTTTGTTGATGTATCCCTATAAGTGAAAATCATAGTTTGACCTCTTTACGATTGGTATTTGAAACGAAAATTATCTGGTTAACAGTAATGATTACATGAATTAATGCTATATCAGGCAGATTAATACTATGCCATGCAGATTAATGCGATATCAGGCAGATTAATACTATGTAAAGCATATTAATTCTATATCACTAGATTGCTATGATGTCACTCAGATTAATACTATATCAAGCAGATTAATACAATGCCATGCAGATTAATACGATATCAGGCAGATTAATACTATGTAAAGCATATTAATTCTATATCACTAGATTGCTACGATGTCACTCAGATTAATACTATATCAAGCAGATTAATACAATGCCATGCAGATTAATACGATATCAGGCAGATTAATACTATGTAAAGCATATTAATTCTATATCACCAGATTGATACGATGTCACTTAGATTAATACTTTGTCGCTCAGATTAATACTATATAAAGCAGATTAATACTATGTCACCAGATTGTTACTATGTCACTCAGATTAATACTATATAAAGCAGATTAATACTATGTCACCAGATTGATACTATAACTATATCAAGCAGATTAATACTATGTCACCAGATTGTTACTATGTCACTCAGATTAATACTATATAAAGCAGATTAATACTATGTAAAGCATATTAATACTATGTCAGTAGATTGATACTATGTCACTCAGATTAATATTTTATCAAACAGATTAATACTATGTCATGCAGATTATTAGGATATCAGGCAGATTAATACTATGTAAAGCATATTAATTCTATATCACTAGATTGCTACTATGTCACTCAGATTAATATTTTATCAAGCAGATTAATACTATGTCATGCAGATTATTAGGATATCAGGCAGATTAATACTATGTAAAGCATATTAATTCTATATCACTAGATTGCTACTATGTCACTCAGATTAATACTATATAAAGCAGATTAATACTTTGTAAAGCATATTATTAGGATATCAGGCAGATTAATACTATGTAAAGCATATTAATTCTATATCACCAGATTGTTACTATGTCACTCAGATTAATACTATATAAAGCAGATTAATACTTTGCCATGCAGAATAATACTATTTCGCACAGATTAATACAATATAACATATATAGATTACGCCTAACGTATTTCCCAATATAAATATCCTACATATAGTAGGCACTGCTTAAGGAGGGCACCTTTTTTGGTGACAAAATGGACTGAAAACCAGCTTAAAACAGTCAGTTCTGCTGAATCTTACTAAAATTGTCCATCTTGAAATGTTCAAACAAATAACTTAAAAAGTTCTCGGATTTCTGTAAAACCTTTGATACAGGTTTGTTTTAGTTGTGAGATTTCTGGCATGAATTTTGATAGATTAAAAAAATAAAACTGACTTTCAAGTCCTAAATGTTTTAAATGGTATGACAAAAATTTCAGACCTTTGACCCACACCCATATTATTATATTTTATAGCTTGCAATGATGATGATATTGATAATGGGGACAATATACAAAACAATTTATTTATTAAATATTTATTAAACTCAGTAAACATGAATACATTGCAAGAGTGTGTCAAGAGAATATAATTATACATGTACAGTAACAAGAAAAACAAGTATGGAGCTTCATTAACCACCTCTTTATTGAAGGCACCTTCCTTCCCTTGAGGGCCCTTTAAAGACAGGTATGACTAAATAATGCAGGATTTAGATACCTACTTATTAGAAATATAACTTCCTTGACGGATTTTTATACTGAATTATATGACTTTAAATCATTTACTGAATTAATTCAATCAGCTGAATTTTTTACTTGAAAAATGTTACAGTCACTGTTCTATTTTTCTGGCTGAACTCTGCATGTAGGTCAATAGTTCCAACTAATTATTAGTTTTAGTCACTAAAGGTGAACAATTGGAGTACCAATTGGTTTCTATGTCTGTATATGCCTGCAGGTCCACAGCAGGTTCTCAGAAACTGAAAAATATACAGTCATATGATTTGATACCGCTGGATTGACAACAACACTTAAGTGAACTGCAAGTTTTATTGTGTCGACTAGTTTCGCCGATTAGATCGGCGTCTTCAGGACAAATTATATAGAAATTACAATCCCTGAAGTATAAAAAATGGTATCTAAATTTTAACGTCATATGATTTGGTAAGCCCATCCAACTTAGGGAGACATAACCATATGCCATATGACCCATAATTTAGTTGGACGACTTAAAGTTTTTGTAGCTACTAACTCTGAAGTTGACTTTCATTTCAATGAATATTTTTATTATTATATAACTTTATCAAGCCAATTGCCAACGAGACAACTATCCTCCAAAGTTCAAATGAAGTGGATGTTAGCAATTATAGGCAACCGTACCGTACAACCATTCAACAATGAGAAAAACCCATACCATATAGTCAGCTATGAAAGGCCCCGACATGAAATAATTCATTTCAGAAAACTAAACGGCCTTAGTTATAACAAAAACAATTTATGAAAAACAAATATGACAGACGTCAACCAACGACAACCACTGAACTACTGGCTCCTAACTTGGGACAGGCACATAAAGAATGTGGCAGAGTTAAACATGTTTGTGAGCGCTCAACCATCCCCCTAACCTGGGACAGTGGTGTAACAGCACAACATAAGAACAAACTATAAATATCAGTTGAAAAAGGCTTAACTAATCAGATCGATACAAAGAAAAATATCAAACAAAAACACAGACAGGATGTTGCAGGGTTTATATCCATCCCTCATCCCTAACAACAAAAAAGAAACTGAGTACAGATCTAAGAGTACTTGCAGTTACTGATAGCTAGTTCAAAGCCAATAACAACTAATAAAAAAAATCATGTATCTAAGACTAAAGGTGATTATAGATTACCTTGTTTTACCTGCCCACTATCTGAAAAGGGTTGTATATATATATATATATATAGTGAAGGGGGAGTTTGTTTGTTCATTTGTTCATCCATCTGTTCCACTTTTGTATCTGCAACTGCTCCTAAATGGCTTTTTAGAAATTTGTAATAAAACTTTCACAAAATCTGACCCACACGATGCACTTTTCCACCTCCTTTTCATTACTTCAGCTAAATGATATTTAGAGTTTACCTTGTGATGACTTTGTCATGTCCATGCAGTACACATATGTTCCCCCTTTTCCTCCAAGACCCCTAATCAGAATTTAATGACACTTTCTCAAAATCTTCTCCTTATCCTCCTAAACCCCTTTAATATAAGAACTAGAACGTGTTAAAACTTTCTCAGAATAAATGAAATATCTTTACAACACATTAGAAATATCAGATTAGTTGGGGCTCTTTCCTATCATTTATTTGGGATCTTCTAATGGATGATCTATGTGAAAAATTTTGGCTTAAATGAGACAGAAATTAAGAAATTTGCCATCAATTTGAATGTTCAGTGTCTTATCAATATTTGAAAACTAGCTTTAACAAAACATGTAATTTGGTTGAATCCAAATTGTCTTTTTGTTTGTACTTTTTGTATTCTCTCTTTATTTAATGGTTTTAAATATTGTACAAAATGTATTAATGGTAGATGAAAAGTAATATTGATTTGAATGTTCATATTTAGAAGTTTTTCTTTCTATAATACACATTATATAGCCATAAGTATGTCATAAACATCAGAATTCATTATATATTTCTCATAATTCTACTGAATTATGAATAAAAGAAGAAGTGGAATAAGTGTCTTCTCATGTTATTCAATTTCCATTGATTTTGTACTACATGTATTTATACAAAGTTTATTTCACATTTACTCCAAGCTTATAAGGAATGTGCCTTTTTAAGTGATGTTTAGAGTAGGCATTCTCCCATCAAACCTGCCATAGTAAAAGTTGTCCCCCTTTTTTAATAATTGAATATTCACCTCAATGTCACTTATATTTCTTAATGTAAATGGATGAAGGAATGAAGGTAGATTATTAATATTTTTCAGGATCCTAAGACTTATGCTGAAATCGAAGTAAAAGGGAATGGTTCATTGGAATGGCGAACTGTTACAATATGCAGTGGTCTAGACTTAGTGAACATAACCTATACACCTTTAATAGCTGCTGATGTAGACACCTCAAGGGTAAGATTTATATATATATATGTACTTGTCGTCATCTTGTGTTCAAGATTATTTTTTTTATCTTATTAACATGACAAACAAACAAGAAGTTTTATAAATACAACATGAAGACCTGCTTATGTTGAGCTTACCTCGATTCTGATTGGTTGAAATATCAAGTTCTATTCCTCATGTTTTAACAGACTCTCTATTACTTTGACATAAGAAGGTTTCTATGGCATGTTTAAACATATATGTTGAAAACAGGCCATGGAAAGTGCCTACAATGATGAAATAAGATTTTGTACATCTCAGAAATAACCAGGTTTCTGGATATTGCAGGCAATCTAGATGAGAGTTTTATACGACCGCAAAAAAATTATGGATCAAACCGTTTAGGAATTAGGGTCAAAAAAGGGGGAAAAACAAGGGTTTCCTGGTTAATGGACAATTAAAAAAAAGTACAATGTTATGTTTGGATTACCTCCCTTGCACTGCTTTTAAATTATGCACAAAGAAATGTTGTATTGTCTTGAGGTGATTAGCTGTCAATTTATTTTTAGAAGTTACTATTCAAAAATGCTGATTAAGGAATATTAATTTAAGCCATGATTATGTATGTCATTTTCTATTTTAAGACTTTTATGATGTATTTAAATAGGTAATTATGGTTGCAAACTTCATTGGAAATTTGAATTTAGATTATGACCATATCTTGAGGAAAAGAATTTTTTTTTGAAAAAAAGGGGGGGGGGGGGGAGTTGAAAAAAAATTGTGAGGTGGGGGGGGGGACAATTTTTTCTCATATCAGATTTCAGAAATTAAACAGAAATTTTATTTTTTGTCGAGACTGTGACTTTTGTTGCAGAAAGCTCGATATAGGGATATTGATCAGGCAGCAGCGACGGCGGCTACGGCGGCTACGGCGGCGGCGGCGTTAGCTAACTCCTTAAAATCTTTATACTTTAGAAGGTGGAAGGTCTGGATGCTTCATACTTTGTATATGGATGCCTCATGTTATGAAGTTTCCGTCAGTCACATGGCCAATGTCCTTGACCTCATTTTCATGGTTCAGTGACTACTTGAAAAAAAAGTTAAGATTTTTTGTAATGTTAAATTCTCTCTTATTATAAGTAATAGGATAACTATATTTGGTATGTGCGTACCTTGCAAGGTCCTCATGCCCGTCAGACAGTTTTCACTTGACCTAGACCTCATTTCATGGATCAGTGAACAAGGTTAAGTTTTGGTGGTCAAGTCCATATCTCAGATACTATAAGCAATAGGTCTAGTATATTTGGTGTATGGAAGGACTGTAAGGTGTACATGTCCAACTGGCAGGTGTCATCTGACCTTGACCTCATTTTCATGGTTCAGTGGTTATAGTTAAGTTTTTGTGTTTTGGTCTGTTTTTCTTAAACTATAAGCAATAAGTCAACTATATTTGTTGTATGGAAGAATTGTTAGCTGTAATGCCTGCCTAGCATGGTTCATCTGACCTTGACCTCATTTTCATGGTTCATTGGTCAATGTTTAGTTTACTTGCTTAATGTTAAGTTTATGTGACAGTTGTAATAAAGCTTTATATTTAGGACTATTAACATAATATCAATGATTAGTAAAGAAGGCGAGACATTTCAGCATGTGCACTCTTGTTTTTAGGAGGGGGGGGGGGGGGTCAATTCGCATAGTGTATTGCACAAAAGCAAAAAATTGAATATAAATTCAAATCATATAACCAATTCTAAGTTCTTTGACTACAGTTATTCTGTGTCAGAAACCTATTATGTGTCAAATATTTAATTACAATCCAAATTCAGACCTGTATCAAGCGCGAATATTGTGTCCATTTTTGCCCCAACTGTTCAGGGTTGGACATCTGCGGTCGTATCCAGCTGCGCTCGGCGAAGCAATTTATTTAGTTCTATGGTCAAACTAATGTAAATTCAGAAAATTTTGTGATGTTTTTATTATTGCGAAAATTTCAAAGAGATCGGTGTTGCAAAAATAATAACTCGCATTATTTGTAAATGTATGCAGCATATCCTAAATATTGCAATAATTTATCTAGCATATATCAACAATCTCAATAATAAATGCACACAATAATTTCTGAATTAACAGTATGACCTCAAAGCTGATTTGAGTTTGCAGTCAGCAAGGCTGCTTTCTATGGATGGTTGACCAGGACTACTAAAGATCTAATGAATAATACTAGTTTGGGCAAAAAAAAATGTCATCTTTTTTTCACATATTTGCTGCCATGAACAGGGTCCTCATTGAAGTTCCCTTTTTTTAATAGGTCTCCCTTTTTTGAGTAATTAATAGACATTAGCATTTCGTAAATCAATTATATCTTTTGGATAGATTGTTTCTTTAATTTTGTACTTTTTGTCTCGCTTTGACGGTGTCAAAAAATGAGACATAGGTATGCTGTTTCCGGTGTCGGCGGCGTTGTCAACAATGTATTAGTTTGTGATTAGGTTTAGTTTATGGTGAACCATAAGTGGTAGTTCAATCATATTTGGTATGCAGTTGTATTAGCATTGGCACATCTCATTTCCAAGGAGATTATTTGGCCCTGCCCCCTCAGTCATGGTCTATTGACTTTGAAACTTTTGCTTATTTTACATGTATTAGTTTGTGATTAGGTCAGTTTATGGGGAACCACTAGTGGTAGGTCAATGATATTTGGTATGCAGTTGTATAAGCATTGGCATATCTCATTTCCATGGAGATTATTTGACTCTGCCCACTTAGTCATGGTCTGTTGACTTCGAAAATTTTGCTAAGTTAACATGTATTAGTTTGTGATTAGGTCAGTTCAAGGGGAACCATTTAGGGTAGGCAAATGTTAATTGGTATTCAGTTGTATAAGCATTAGCACATCTCATTACCATGGAGAATATTTGGCCCCACCCCCTCAGTCATGGTCTATTGACTTAGAAACTTTTGCTTAGTTTACATGTATTAGTTTGTGATTAGATCAGTTTAAGATGAACTGCTAATGTTAAGTCAATGATATTTGGTATGCAAATTTATTGGCATTTGCAAGTATTGTTTCCATGGAGATTATATAGCCCCACCCCCTCTTCATGGTTCATTGACTTTGAAACTTTTACATAGTTTACAAGTTAATGTTTGTGTTTAGGTTTGTTTGAAGGGAACGACTTATAATAAGTTAGTGGTATTTGGTATGCAGTTGTATTAGCTTTGGCACATCTCATTTACATGGAGATTGTTTAGCCATGTACCTCAGTCATGGTTCATTGACATTTAATATTTGCATAACTTATGAAACATGTTTAAGTATTGCTATTTTAATTTCAACATTTGCATAATCAAAATTACAAAAGGGCCAGACATATCTCTGTGATAACAGTTTATTTTGTTGTGTTCTAATGTTTATGAAAGGCTTTACTGTAATGTTGTCCTTTTTTTGGGCAGGTATGTTCTTCAACAAAACTTAAAATCAACAATGCAAATCATAATTTGTAGTTTGACGATATTTTATGCTTTTGGCTGTCATTATGATTTATCGTTTAGTGTGAATTATAGATGTGCAAGAAAATTTAATTTTGTCATTCCACACAAATGTCTTTTCTAGTTAGGTGCTTTGACATGTAAAAGATTTGATATACAAAAACAATAAACAGAGCAGACTCCATTGGGAACTGAATCATTGATCATGTAAATAAAATGTTTGGACATTGTATTGAAAAATGTTTTCTTCAGAGGAGTAATTAAGAAGATCATAATAAAACAGGCTTTGTAAAATAATTTTGTACAGTCACAATATTAGTATTATTAATCAATCTTGCTTGATTTAGTTTTCATGTAGAAACAATAGAAGTAGTCCTTGGAGACGTTATGAACTTTCTGTAGAGTTTACTTTAAGAACCCTACTATCCAACAGTGGATATGTATATCTACCATAAATCATTATAAACACTGTTTCAAGGTTATATTTTTTTGTGATGTGAAAAGTTGTCTCTATTTCAGTTAGTTTGATAGACCTTGAACTCATTTCATGGATCAGTGATCAAGGTTAAAGTTATGTGGTCAAGTCTGTATCTCAGATACTATAAGCAATAGGTCAACTATATGGTTGATTATTCAATCTAGATCTCTACAACCAGAAGTAGAATTTATAACAGTAGCTTTAGTTATACCATGCATCTCTTTTCACAAAACAATCTTACAAATAAGAATACATAAGTTATGGAAGTTTCAGTATGGTATTAATTTAAATTTTTTTAATTAAAATATTTTTTGTTAAAAGGATCACTGGTTTTGAGCATATTTATTATTTGATATATCAACTTATAATAAGTGAAATATAGTACTAATTTTTATAGAAAACTAGAATGAAAATAAGTACCAATATGTAAAATAGATAATTAGAAATGAAAAATGTACACTTGTTAGTTACTAAATAGCAGACTTACAAGATTATCGTTAATTAACAAAAAAAATATGAATATTCAAGGATTTTACATAAAATTATGATTATAGCATTTCAAAATAAGTGCTTTATACATGACATGTAGCAGAGCTTAGTTTTATGCAAGTAGAATTGTAGTTTCTAAAGAAATTTGTATACAATTATTGAACTAATGAAGATATTTTGTTACTTTCAGGAATGGTTTGAAGGGCTGAGACAACTAACACCTAATACCAAGGCCAACAACATATGTCCTATGACATCACTGAAAAAACAGTATGTATCATTATGTATCAGTTAAACCTTATGGTATTTTGTAGTTTATTTTAGCAGAGAACTTGGTAGTTATACTGGAAATAGATACTAGTGTGATATCAGTGAATGATTTGTTAACTTTTATGATAACAAATAAATTAGAAAAATAATAAATTGATAAACTTACAGTAGACTACAAGGCAATTTTGAGAAGCAGCCATAGATAACAGAACTATTGTTCTATCAGACTGATTGGTGAAATTGTTAATATGTTGTCTTTATTTTTAAGCTTAGACATACTTTCATGATTGAAGAATGCTTTCATTCACAAATGGACGATCTCAAAAAATGACTTTAACCAATTAAAAGATATCTCAAGCATATTTCAAAATTATTAAGGGTAATCTATTTAAGTCCTATATATATATATACATATTTATTGTGTGATGATTTGGGGATCCTGTCTTAAGATTCCTCATTTTTTGCTTCTCATACAGCATACATAGCAGCAATAATAACAAATAGGTTCCCATTGAACCCTATAAAAAAATCACATTTTCATCTTTTTTCTCAGCTCCTACATAGTTCTGTTCTTTTTTCTGCAGCAAAAAAAGCATGAAATTGCATCCCTGTTTTTAAATTCCTATATTGCAGACATAAAATACATTTTATGTAGTTCCTTGATGATTTGCTTTTTACATAATAAATGGCTTTACTAAGTCATTAACACCTAATACTTAGTTAAGTCCAATAACTAGATTGTGAAGACTTGTTTATTAGCATTTTAAAAGGGCATGATGTACATAAATGTCCCATCTTCTGATATTTATCCTGAAAAATATATTGGCAAAATGTAGCTTGTATAATGTTAAAATGTGATAAATTTACAATGAAAATGAGATTGTTAATCAATATCTATTTCTTTGAGGATGTTTCAGTGTAGTGGTAGATTGCGCTTGACATTTTATGATTCAAAAGACTTTGTGCATATAACTTAAAACATTTAAGGTTCATTTCCACTAGCAATGATGCATAATTGAACATTTGTCAAAAAAGCTTTTTAGTCTAATGTTAAATGATGTTGCTCCACCTTAGGATATAAAACTTTTTAAATCATCCTGAAAAATTTAACAGTATTTCACAAGTCATGCAGAATGAAAAGAGTGTTATCTGAATATTAAATAAAACTGTTTTATTCAGTATATATTTAATACATATTCTGTATGTTCTAATAACATCCCTGCTATAAATATATATATTACTTGAGGTATAACAACACTTTGATAAGGTTAAGTTGGTACAAATCTTTGATGTAATTCTATATCATATATTTGAGAATTTTATTCTATTTTATCCCCAACATGAAGTTAGGGAATAGGTAATGTGTTTTCAGTCTATATATATATTCAACTCTTTATCACTCACCATTGAATCAAAATTATTTATTGTATTTGGAAAAAATACTCTTAATTCTGAATACCATGTTATCTTCATAAAATGGCTGCGCCCATAAAATCTAATGGTTTATTGTAACCTTTATACGTATTGTAAACTTGTATATGTATGATGGCTCTTTTTGAAGCTGAGACATTTTCACAGATGTGGTTTAATTTTTCGAGGTACAAAGTGGGATTAAAATTTTCAAATTTGGAAACCCTGAACGGCCAATGTGATGCCGCTTCAGCAAGTGAAAAGTCCCTATTTTCACGCAGTTAAATTCTCTGGAAAGTCAGTTCCTTACAAACCTTTAATAACTCTAATTTTTTTTGCATCTTTATTGTACAGTCTTCTCTTCAAAAAAGCACAAATAATTAAGCTCAGTCAATTACTAAAAATAGAATCATGTTCAATATCATTGCATACAGGTTTTTTATTGTCTTGCCTGGGGACATAGGTAAAACTATTTGTGTAAAGCTTTATATTTCAGAAGGTAGAAGACCTGGATGCTTCATACCTTGTATGCAAATACCTTATGTTACGAAGTTTCCGTCTGTCATATGTCCATTGTCTTTGACCTCATTTTCATGGTTTAGCGACTGCTTGAAAAAAATTACATTTTTTTTCTTCATGTGAATTCCTCACTTATTATGAGTAGTGGGAGAATTATATTTGGTATATGGATTCCTTGCAACGCCTACATGTCTGTCATACAGGTTTCAATGTTAGGTTTTGTGTTTTGTTTGTTTTTCCAAATACTAATAGCAATAGGTCAGCTATGTTTGGTGTATTGGAAAATTGTAAGGTGTACATGTCTGTCTGACAGGTATTATCTGACCTTGACCTCATTTTGATGGTTCATTGGTCAGTGATAAGTTGTCGTTATTTTGTCAGTTTATCAGATACTATAAGCAACAGGTCAACGATATTTGGTGTATGGAATGATTGTAAGGTGTACATTTCTGTCTGGCCTGGTTCATCTGACCATGACCTCATTATCATAGAACATTGATAATGTTAAGTTTATGTCATACTTGTAGTAAAACCTTCATGTTACAGACTTTCAACATAAATTATATGATAAGTAAGACAGGTGAGACATTTCAGTGTGTGCACTCTTGTTTCTATTTATAGTTGTGTTCCTCAATTTAGGTGTAATGACACAATAACACATATACTAAAGAGATTGATATTAAGTATAATGACACAATTGCACATATACTATAAAGTTTGAGATTAAGTGTAATGACACAATAACACAGACTATTGAGATTAAATGTAATGACACAAAAGCACAGACTATTGAGATTAAATGTTATGACACAAAAGCACAGACTATTGAGATTAAGTGTAATGACACAATAACACAGACTATTGAGATTAAGTGTAATGACACAATAACACAGACTATTGAGATTATGTGTAATGACACAATAACACAGACTAATTAACAGACTATTGAGATTAAGTGTAATGACACAATAACACAGACTATTGAGATTATGTGTAATGACACAATAACACAGACTATTGAGATTAAGTGTAATGACACAATAACATGGACTATTGAGAGTAAGTGTAATGACAAAATAACACAGACTATTGAGATTAGGTGTAATGATATATAATACACACTACAAATGTATTGAAATTAAGTGTAATGACATATCAACAAAGACCACACATGTATTGAAATTACTTTAAGTGTTATGACACAATAAACAGTCCCTATTGAGTAAGTTACACTGATTTAAGTCTATATGTTAGAGAGGGTCTGATTGGTCTGAGGTTTTAGTTACATTATTGTTGAAAACTTTAAAATAAAATTATGTTTGCTCCCAGAGCAGATTTTAATATAACCTTGCATGAAAGTATCATAAGTCAAAAAAATATCTGTTTGGTCTAAAGCTGAAAAATTGTACTTGACAAGGAAAAGTCAGAGGAATGTTTTTTTACGTGTTTGGTCTAAGATTTATCATTTTGGGAATAATAGGGTAGGATGCCTACTATGTTTCCATTGAATCGCATGGCACAATACCAGTATATGTTTGGCAAAGTTGGCAGTGATAATAGATTGAATGACCTATAACAAAGGAATATAATGACAATGACCTATTTGGAAGGAATATTTTGTAGATGGCATTTGATAGGCTCTTGAATTTACTTTTCTATACATCGGGTTACTAGTGTTGAAGATGTTTTGTTGACCTACAGATGTCTTTTGAGTTTTTGTGTATAATGTTTGCTGTCCCATTAACATTTACTGATACCCTCACAGCTCTTTCTTTCATAAATATTATTATGTCTTTCTAGAGCTGTCACTAATCTATGTCTTGTTTTTAGAATGAATACAGAATTGAGTGTTGATGGCAAGTCTTTGATGGTCTCTGTTCAATTAATTCACAGCTTATATAGAATTAGGGCCACTTAGAGGTTGGCATATTGTATATAGACACCCCTCTATTGTTAAAGAATGTCTGGATGTCTTTTATGGTATTGTTGTCTTTTGTGCTGTCTAATTGACATATATACCTTACATTCCCATGTATTCAAGTATAATATTTAATTCTGGTACATATGTCCCTGTATCTAAAGATAAATAGGTATTAGTTTCACAATTATAAGAATAATGAACTTAAATCATGAAATTCTATTATAATAACTTATTAGAACATCTTTCTGCTCATTGCAATCACAAGTCTGCAAATATTGTAGAAATTCATTGCGATTGCCACCGATTCCTTCAAACATGTCACTGTAGCATCCATTTTCTTTAAGAGGAAAGAATTTGTCACAATAAACTCCTTAGTGTGTCAGATTTGATGATTGATAAATGATTATTTCCTTTATAATTATATTCCTTATACATGAGATATAGGATAATAATCAGATTAGATGACATCATAGAAAAATGATGAATTGATTACCAAGTTTACTTCACATGTATTGCCATGCTTAATATCTTTCTTATTGATAATATTTTATTCTGGTGCCATGATCCTTAGTTATATCTGTTAATTAAGATGTAAATGCTGTGGGAAGAATTATTTTGGTGGCCAGCTTTGTATTTCTAATTTTGAGTTTTCCCTTTAGCCAAGTTCCTGAGTAAAAACATGTATTCTAAATAAGAAATTATCAGTACATCTAATCTAAGAAATCTATAAAGACTACAACTATTATCTTCAACTGCATCATTCCTGTATCAAGAAAACAGTGTCAGAGGGAACTTATTTATCTAATAGCAAAAATGAAAACAAAACGAAGAAATATTTTAAAACTTCAAAATAATATTTAACAATTCTTTTTAGAGGGATTAACAAACTTTTCACAATAATTTGTCAAAAGTTCATGTTGTGTTCAGAAGATCCATTTCCTTTTTTCTCGGTTCTGTAAATTGAAAGAAAGTGGTTTTCTGCTCTTTTTAAAGTTGAAATTTCAGTTATAGAATTTATATTTTTGTCAATAGTATGGAGAATATTGAAATCCAGCTTTGCTAAAAGCTATATTTGGTACACAGAAACGTTGACATGGTTATGTAGTGGGGAGACTTATATACATGTCTTCAAAATTTTTTACATTGTTGC